TTCTTGCTCTCTTATGCTCTCTCTCCCTTCTCTTTCTCTCTTTCCTTCCATAGCTCTGTCTCACTCCCTCGCCCCCCTCTCTGTTCCTTTTATATCCTCCTTGCTGAATGCTCTTCTCCTCTCCTCCCTCAACTCTGTCTTTTCTCCTTTATATTCAGTCCTTTTTTTTCAAGCTCTCCCCACACTCTTTTCTCCAATGTTGTCTCCAAGCAGAGCTACTTCATTGCTAATATTCTTTCTTTCCATTTAGTATACCCCACTACCAAATGGAGAGAGTAATCTTTTATTTAGGTTTGTTTTTTTGCCCTGGCCATTTCTGCATCCTGTCTCGTGGTCTCTGTATGAATGATTTGTTGAGTGAATTTGAGACTTGATGAACATTGAATGCATCTATGTTGAATGAGAAATGCTTGAGATCTGTGTTTGTTTATGTGCTTGAAGTTGCAGGTAATTCACCTTATAGTCAACCTTGTCTAATCACGTATGCCTCACATTCAAAGTTGCTCTCCCTAACAGCAGCAGCAGCAGCGACGGAGGCATCACTGATAAAGACTGAAGCTTTGTTTTGTTTTTTTCTTCTGTCTGTGTGTCCAGTCTGTTCTTGCTGACCTTAATGAAAGAAGCTGGAGGCGTGCAACTAGGGTGTGGCTGCTTTTATACACTTTTGCCATATTCCATCTGCATTGCTTAGATTCAAGCTGCGTGATTGTCTGTTCTGTGCTTATGAAAACCTGCTGTGATTTTTTGTGTGAAAGCTTAATTACAGCAGCTAATCATGCTTGAGACTTACTATTATATCAGCGTGCCATGCAGAGGTGAGACTGTTCCAGCACTGGAAATAAAAGAAGGTGTGTGGGCTTGCAGCCTGAGACGCAGGTCTGAGAGGAGCGGCCAGCTAAAAACATCAACGTCAGACCAATAACTCAAAGTTCAAAAACAAGGAGCAAACAGATTCTTCTCTTCTCCTCCTCGCTTTCTGATCATGAGAGAAAAATCCTCACCTGAAACGCTGTAGCTATAACAACCCTATACACAAACCTACAAAGCTTCCATTTTGCCTGACAGTGAAAGGATGTTGAATTATAGCCATCACCCGGCGCGGCGTATCACACACAGCCAGAGCAAACTCGGGCTGCAAGCAGCCTGTCACTGGGCTGGATGAAGAAACAACACTGACGATGTGAGCTCACCAACATATACAGCAAGAAGAGTGGAGTGTATTCATATACACACATATGTATACATATATATATATACATATAGGAGACCAACCTATTGCTAATGTACTTTTAATGTACTCACTCCAAAAAAAAGAATTATATCCATTAGTCCATTTATCTTTGTCTGTCTGTGTCTCACATATCTCTAAAACTGTTCATCTCATCGGCTTCACACTTGTCATGTGCATTAAGGACCCAAGGAAGGGCCATGACGAATTTAGTGTGATTTGGATGAGAGACACATTCAATATTAATAAACTTTGAATAAACAGGCAACCAGCACTGTGTAGCAGAACACACTAATTTGGCAGACAAGGAAGTGAGAGTGCCTCAGTTTTCTGTGCATATATGACTCTGAACATGAAGTCCCAGGGGGTGAAAATAGAAGAGCAAACCCCTCTACTGGCAATGGGAAGGGGGTTAATTGCCTTTTTTAACAGGGTTACTCAAACCTGCGTAATTTTTCTGTAAAAGTAACGCTGTCAATCACGACAACAGGGTGTTTACGACCACTAATTCTCCAGTTCAGGGTTCTGCGCACTTAGTCAAGCTTCTCTGAACTTTGCAGTGGCGCAGCTTCAGCATTCTGAGGTCTCAGTTCTGCAGCCAGTATTTACTTGCTGAGGCTCAATTACTGCAGGTCACTTTTACAGTTTCAGAGAGAAAGCTGCAACCAGCATCACCACAGGCCAAGCAAACAGACCGGTTTGGAACGAGTGCTGCATTAATAAAAGAAAGAAAACAGAGGAGTTGTCATCAATGAGCAGTTTTATGATTCATTGGGCTGCTTTTCTCAGGGGGTTAGAGAGACAGCTGATATCTGAATCTACCCCTCCACCACCACTACCCACCTACCGACCCTCTTCTCTTCCCTCCATCACTCTCCATCTTTCTCTCTTCCTCTTGCCATTAAAGAAAAAAGTTATAACTTTGTCCTATATCACGGAGAGGATGTGATATAGATAAACGCAGAACCAGGCCGGGATCTGCAGAATTGAAAAGTATTGCTGCTCTGCTAAAAAAACTACAGCATAAGTCATGCGGACACCCGTGTCAGAAGTAGTGTGTTGTTTAAGGACGGTGGGGAACTGAAAGCATGTTGGTGTCAATGGTGTGTGTCTGCGGGTGTGTGTGTGTGTGTGTGTGTGTGTGTGTGTGTGTCTCCCTGATCGCAGACATCAAAAATGTGCACACGCGACTACGCACAGACACACATTTGAAATCCCAGCTGAGGGTTAGTACACTTGAGAGCAAGGCAATGGCTTACTTCCCTTCCACTCTCTCCCTGCTTAAGCACATATATGGAACCTGTAGAAATCGTCAATGAAATTGAACGTGCGTTATCCGTCTTCACCTTTTCAACTGTTTGTTTTCAGAAGCCCTACACACACACACACACACACACGTACCCAAAGTAAATGGACAAGCAAGCAGGTTTTGCTGTTATGAAGATTCAGGCCTGGAAAGGAGCCAGTGTGTTTCTTTCCCCAAACTTTTGTTGTCTGTGTCTTTTTCATTTTCCCCATAGGCTAGTTCTGTGTTGTTTTATGTACGTGTCCCTTGTTGTTTCTTCCATGTGGTTTCTTTGTCTTTCAGCCTCTTATCTCTTTGTTTCTTCCCTTGCTCTCCTTCTATTTTCTCTCCCATTCTCTCCCTCGACTTCCTGCTATCTCTCCCCCTCACTCACACCCTCACTCAATCTCTTTCTCTCTCTCCCCCTCCCTGGCGCTCACTCTCATTCCCTATCTCTCCCTCCACCTCCTCCTCCTGCCCCTCCACCACCACCCCTCCGCTCCCCTTTCTCTTCTCTCTATCTTTCTCATTCTCGCAGCACTCCAAGCCGCTGATGATTGATCAAGGTTTTCAAGGTTTGCCCTTTCCTGTTATTTAGTGGGAAATGTTTATGCACGGCGCTCAGTCTTACAGTCACAATTGTCATGTGTCCACACAGTGTTTGCAGCACTCGCCTGCACCTTCACATAAATGTACAGAACTACTACACTTTTCTCTCCTGCTTCTTCTTTCTCTGTTTACTAGTTGAAGGGTAAGGTAAGCTCTGGTATAATAGAATACCTGTCTAATTATCAGGATCATCGTCACTGCCAACTACTTAAGCACACAACCTGTACTTAGCCAGCAGGTACTCTGCAGCACTGTTTCTCAACACAGCCTGAAAGAAATCTGGAAGTTCAATAGTTAATGTCTTCCCTTGCTGTTTTTCCTTTTCCTCACTCTCTCCGTCTCTCTATCTCCTTTCCTCTCTCCATTCCCTTTGCTCTCACCCTCCCCTCCTCTCCTTGATTCCGCACCCCCCCCTCCTCTCTTCTCTTTTCTCTTGCTGATGGACTCTTCTTTTTTATTTTCACACTCCACCATCCCCCCTTTTTTTCTTCTCTCTTTTTCTCTCTTCTTCTTCTTCTTCTTCTTCTTCTTTCCTCCTCCAGCTCCCCTCCCTCCCTCCCTCCTCCTCCTCCTCTTCTCCTCTTCTCTTTCACTGCGCTTTCTTTCAACCCTCCCTCTATCTCTCTTCCCATCCCCACCCCCTCTCCTCCAACACCACCACCACTCCCCCTCCCCTCTTTTTTCTGTTCTCTCTTTTATTCTCTCTTTCTTTCTTTTGCCACATCCTTTCTTATGCTTCACCCCCCCACACACCACCACCTCCCTGACCCCCCCTTCCCGTCTCTCCTTTCCCTTCTTCCTCCTTTTTTTGCTGCATTCTCTTCTTCCCTCCCCCACCCCGGCTCTCTTTCCTCTCTCCCTTTTTCTTTCTGTCTCTCTCACCCCCCCACCCCACCCCTCCACCTCCTCCTCTTCCTCCACTCAGCTTCACTCCCCCTCCCTCTGCTTCTTTCTTCCTTATTCTTTCTCCCCCACGTCTGTCTCCCTCCCTCCCTCTCTCCTAACTGCTTTTCTCTCCTTTCTTTCTCCTTCTCTTTTCTTTTGTCACTCAATTTTTTTCTTCCTCTGAATTTCTCAGACAGTATATACTTCAGGTTGTCTCAATAGTTAATTAGTTGAATGTAGAAATAATGGCAGCAAACTGTACCGTCTCTAGAAAGTTAAAAATGTTAGCGTTTCTCAGACATTATCTGTCTCCCTGTTTTGCTACTGACAGACGCACCTCCACCCATAGTCTCTAAGATTGTTTGTGCATGTTGTGAAAGTGTGTATGTTCCTCTATGTGCGCCTGCTTACACACACGCACACATATATATATATATGTATATATGTATCAATAAACATGTTTTGCATGTGTGGGTAAACTCACATATATCTGTGTGAGGAACTGCTGATTAGATTTTAGAATTGTTTGTGCGTTTCAGCACATGCTCGTAGAAAAAAAAAGAAATGCAAAGTATGAGGTGTGATCAAGAAAAGATAGAGCTTGTGTTTCTGTGTGCCTTAAAGAGAAATGTGTGTTGAAGGGTCATGCTGAATTGTATGTAGTGAGAAAGGGAGATAAGATGTGCGTGTGTGTGTGTTGTAAGAGAAAAGAGGAGAGAAAGAGAAGTGAGATGGGAAGGAGAGGGTGGGAGGAAGAGAAAGAAATGGGGTGATGCTGTGTGTATGTGTGCGCGTTTGCATGTGTATGTGTGTGTGTGTGTGTGTGTGTGTGTGTGTGTGTGTGTGTGGTGGAGGGCTGGTGGTGGAGGGGGGCAGGCACAGTCAGTTCTGATAACAGCAACAGTAGGAGGAGGATGAGCCGTGGGACCGCCCCACTCTTCCACAGATATAAATAGGAGGTGGATTTTTTTACTCCACTCATTTCTCCTGAAGGATGAGATCCCTGAAACACCTCAAACATCACTCCAGGAACAATGTGGTGAGTTTGTAACCCAACAGATGCAGAGAGATGTGTCGCCACTGAGGCGTTACAGTCTGGTTGATTAGTAGTTTTGCAGTTTGTTAGTGAGGTATTTGCACTAACTTGTGTGTGTGTGTGTGTGTGTGTGTGTGTGTGTGTGTGTGTGTGTGTGTGTGTGTGTGTGGGGGGGGCAGATTACTTTTCACGTTCACATGAGTAGTGGGAAAAGAAAAGATAAAGAGTTGTGTTTCTGTCTGTGCCACACGTTTTCTGCTCCTGCTCTGATTGTTTGTCCTTAGGTGTCTTTTTACTTGCAACTTTAAATGTGAAAGTATGGACTCTTGCATTTTCCTCCCCTACCCTCCCCTGTCTCCTTGTCATTTGTCTTTTTCTCTTTCATTTTGTCAGCCTTTCATTTTGCTGTGCTTTTTTCTTCTCTCTCCAGCTCCCCCTCCTTCCCTCCTTCCCCTCTTTCTCTCTCACTCACTCTGTCTTTCTGTCTCTCTCCACCCCCCCAGCACCACCACCCCCCACACCCCCTCCCACTCCTTTTCCTTTCTCTCTTCCCTCCTCTCACATGCTCACTCAATCTCTCGTTCCCCTTCCCTCCCCTCCCTCTCCTCCCCTCTTTCTTTATCTTTCAGCCCCTCCATCTCATTTCTCTCTCCGTCTCCCTCCCTCCACTCCTCCCCCGCCCACAGCTCTTTCTCCTTCTCTCCATACCTCCCTCCCTCTCTTTTCTCTCACTCACAAACACACACACATACACACACGCTTTCAAATACACACCCAGTCTCTTTCCTTTTCTTTCTCACAAACACACAGTCTGTCTCTGTCTGACTACTTTAAAAGCAGTAATTATAAATGACGTGGTTATCAGGGCATCCAGGTCTACTCCCCTCTCCCAATACACACATACACACCCACACACCCACCCCTACCTTTATTCCTGCAATATCACTATCTCCTCTCCCTTTCCCCCTTTCGCCATCCACTCTTTTCTTTGCTCTTTGTATTCTGTCAGAAAAGGAAGCAGCTCTTGCTTATACGGCACAGATTGAAGACTGGTGTGTAGTCTGAAATGAAATCAGGGGTCAGAGCTTCCTATATACATTTTCCTACCAGTCAGATTCATGCCGAGAAATAACCTGAAACCAGTGGCCTACAATACTCACTTCTCCTTTATCAGTGAGAGCCAGTTTGGTCATAGCACAAATTCTTCCTCATAGTTTTGCTGTTCCGCTTTTACAGGCAGTAGGGTAAACATGTGCATGTGGGTCTGAAACACTTCCGAACCATACAATTATGTTAGCGAGTCTTATGCATCGGTCTGGAATACAGAATGAGCTTGGAGCTCAATTGAATGTCTGTTATGGATATGAGACTCCCTGCTGGCATATATCATCTTTTTAAGGAAGCCCAGTGTGACAAGCATTATGAAGTCCGGTACGGCGAGACTTTCTGAGTTTAGAACTGAGGCACTTTGCTCCTCATGAATGGGACAGATAGCTCCAGTGATGAGCTGACGCTGGTCAGCCAGGCTGTCTCGGGACCCCACAGGAAGTGCTGAGGACAGTCCACGGAAGTCCACTTCCTGGCTGGACCTGCATCCCTTGTTGTGTTCTTTATTATTCTAAATCCTGTCAAGGAAGGAAGCGGGGTGCTAACACAGATCTGCCTTATCTCCTCAATCTAATGTTCTGTGGATTCAGAGCAAAGAAACAAGGCGTAGTCCGAATGCGGCTTTCACACTGTTATTCTTAAAAACATTATCTTCACACTCATTACAGGCCTGAGGAATAAGACTTTATAGCCTCTGGTGTCAATCTGGGACATTGAATCATCAAAACTAAATAACGTGACAATTTCAATATGAGGCTACAATGGAGAAATGGGGTTATATGAGGAAGTATTGTGTAAGGCCGATTTTGTAACAATGGAATAATGAAAGAAAACCAACAGACTTTGCCTCTAGTTAATTTTTTACTGACTTTTGTTGTATGTTTTCTTCCAGGAGGAGGAGAGCAGCCGCTTGGTGCGAACCTACCCTAAGATGACTGAGAGCCAAGTGGATGTGGGCACGCAGACAGAGCCTGTGGTGGTGCTCTCACTGGCTCAGGCAGCTGTTCTAGGTCTCATCTCCCAAAATGAAATCTTTGGGGCCACCATTGCTCCCAATGGCTTTTACACTGGGGAGCAGAGAGAGTGCCCTCCTCCCCCACCTGAAGCAATGGAGTATGAGTACGCTGACCAGCTGATAGGGGCAAACGGGGACTACCTAGCTGAGCCTGCTGGGGAGCCAGAGCCTCAGCCCCACTGCAGTGAAAGAAGACGACCTGGGCCCCGTGGGAGGACCAAAAGGCCCAGGAAAGATGGAGAATTAGATGGTCACCCACAGAAAGCGCAAAGTCCACAGGCTAAGGTTAAAGGTGAAAGACTTGAGTCTAATATGCCTCCTTCCTGCATTCACATGAACAGCAGGCAGAGTCCTGGCAAGTCAGAGGATCCTGTCTCCCAACAAGGGCCTCTGAAAGAGGAGCAGTCCTGCAGAAACTGTGCCTCATGTGTGAGAGATACACCCAGGCCACAAACAGATGGACAGTCAGAACAGGAACAGGAAGAAAGCACTGGTAGAGACAGGGAGAGAAAAGAAGAAGAGCTGGTGGTGGCAGAAGAAGAAGAGGAGGAAGCACTAAACCTTAAGACGAGTGGAGAGACTGGCAGTCCTCTAGAGAGCCGCTATTATGAGTCCAACGAGGTTGCCTATGAGTCTGCTGACATGTCCCTGCCAGGAGAGTACGAGGAAAATGGCCAGGCCATGTTGTGGTCGGACCCAGAGGGCCTCGCTAGGCGAATGCAGATTGACCGGCTGGACATCAACGTGCAGATTGATGAGTCTTACTGCGTAGATGTAGGAGAGGGTCTGAAACGCTGGAAGTGCCGCATGTGTGAGAAATCATACACATCCAAATACAACCTTGTTACTCATATCCTGGGCCACAATGGAATTAAGCCCCATGAATGTCTACACTGTGGGAAGCTCTTCAAGCAGCCGAGCCACCTTCAGACTCACCTGCTCACCCACCAGGGAACCCGACCTCACAAGTGCACAGTTTGTGAGAAGGCCTTCACGCAGACCAGCCACCTGAAGAGGCACATGCTGCAGCATTCAGACGTCAAGCCCTACAGCTGTCGCTTCTGCGGCCGTGGGTTTGCCTACCCCAGTGAGCTGAGGACACACGAGAACAAACACGAGAATGGCCAGTGCCATGTCTGCACCCAGTGTGGTCTGGAGTTCCCGACCTATGCGCACCTGAAGCGCCACCTGACCAGCCATCAGGGCCCCACCACATACCAGTGCACAGAATGCCACAAGTCCTTCGCTTACCGCAGCCAGCTGCAGAACCACTTGATGAAGCACCAGAACGTGCGGCCCTACGTTTGCCCAGAGTGCGGCATGGAGTTTGTCCAGATCCACCACCTCCGACAACACGCTCTAACTCACAAGGTACAGGCAGCGCACGCCCTTGCACTTAAGGTACTGAAACCTGACATGTGCCTTTGTCTACTAATTAATGTGATCAAAACAAAAAACATAGTGGACAGGCAATCATTCAGCCAAACTTTGCTAAACTTTTATTTAAATATAGAAAATGCAAGCATATAAAAGGAATTTAGGAAAGTAGGGAAGATTTTTAGCTTCTTTCACTTCAGAGTTCTCTGTATGAATCCTCATAGAAAATACAAAAGCATATTGTACACTTGCATTGCAGCCTTCATTTTTCCAAAACCAGTTGCTTTGTAAACAAAGCCATCAAAGGCCTCAAGTTTTTTTGTGTGACTCAACCCCACCCCCAACTTGTGTTTTGTGTAGTGTCATTCGCAACTTCCATCAGATGAATCATTTGGGTCTTTCTCTAAGTTTCATTATATAGTCTGTTTTATGGCATTTGCTTTTGTTAAATATTAAAATAAAAGTTAAATAAATATTGAAACAAAAGAAAGACAAAAGTTTACTGTTTCCTTTGTGAAGACTTTTCTACTCCATCTTTCAACACTTGGTGGGGCTCACGTAATCTACAAGTGACGGATCAAAAGAGTCCAATTGCTCAAACACATGCACACATGCGATTTCCTTGTGTGTTTCTTCCTCCTTATTTATTTTTCCTCTCAAACATATATTTAGGCAAATTAAACAGAAGGCTAAAACACTTTTTATTTGTTTGTGTCTCCAGGGTATGAAAGAATTCAAGTGTGATGTCTGTGCCAGGGAGTTCACCCTGTCTGCCAACCTGAAGAGGCACATGCTGATCCACGCCAGTGTGAGGCCCTTCCAATGCCACGTCTGCTTCAAGACCTTTGTGCAGAAGCAGACTCTTAAAACACACATGATCGTCCACCTGCCAGTCAAGCCCTTCAAATGCAAGGTGAGTGACACACACGTTTACATCAGCTCAAACTGGGTGTCCATCGCGATGGAGCTGGGACGGGTACTGACCATTGAGCTCTCGTCTCTCAGGTATGCGGAAAGTCATTCAACAGAATGTACAACCTCCTCGGCCACATGCACCTCCATGCCGGCAGCAAGCCCTTCAAGTGCCCTTACTGCACCAGCAAGTTCAACCTGAAGGGCAACCTCAGCCGACACATGAAGGTCAAACACGGCATCATGGACACCTCAATAGATGGACATGGTGAGTTGCTTTATTCCCTAATTACACTCCTCTTTGAAGCAATGGTTATTTTTCGATGACATTTGAATCAGCCGATGAGTTATGTGTGGCAAATTTCCTAGTGGGGCTTCATGTCACATTATTGTCACTCAGTCTGTCTCTAACGCACTTTGACTCGGCGTGTACTGTAATCTGGGGGCAAAGTATATTGATGTGACTCTGTCCCTCCTTCTCTGTGTGTTTAGTAAATATAGAAGTGCCTGGATTAGACATGCCTGTCTCTATCAGTGGAGAGTGATACTGAGGCAGAGGAGGAGGAGGGGCAATCTATACCGGCTGCCCTCAATGAAGGCTGTGTGTGTGTTTTTGAGGACAGTGCAGGATCATGTTTGTGTCTTTGTTTACTTCCTCAGAACCCCCCCAAGACACAGAAGGCCAAGAGGACTACGAGGAGGAAAGCTTTGAATTCAGCGAACGAGAAAACCGGGCAAACAACAACAACACACCAGACATTGCTAAACTATCTCAAATGGAGTATTACAGCACCTATGGGAAGGGCGCAGGGCGTTTCAGCACTGCATGAATTATTAAAATGACCCCAAATTCAATATAAGTGAACTAATGAAAATTGTTTTTCTTTGCTAGTTTTTTTATTTTTTGCTGTTAAGGTATAGTGCTTTTGTTGTTCTTCAACGGCATGAAGACGCCCAGCAAACTGCACATTCATATGCACTGGAATTACTCGTACTGCTACTAAATTTGAAAATGTACACTTTTTAACGTAATTTACATAGTTTTCATCTCTAAAACACTGCAAATCTACTGAATACATATATTATATTTGAAAAA